GCCGAAGAAGAAGAAGAGGAGGAATGGGGGCATGTCAGCAGCACAGCCAGCAGCGGGAGCAAACAAAACATGGAGACACGCAGCGACGGTGGCGGACACGGCGCAAACTGAAAGTGAGCCGCAGTGATTTATCAAGCAAAAAAAAGAAAATGACGCCCAGTAAAAATATCAGCAATCAACAAAAAAATGGAAAAAGAAATTGCTGCGGCAGGTGTTTTTACCTCACGTCTCCAGAAGCCCAAGAGGACGGTGTGTGTTCGTATATTTACTGCCCGCAAATATCAAAAAGAAAAGACTGTCAGTGGCACAGTCACACGCACACCTCACATTCGCCCCTCACAGTCTCCGCCGCCCCACGCCTCGTTTGGGCAGTCCGTGCGACGCACAGCCCCAAGACCGGCGCCTCGTGTGTGGGCGGCAGCGGCAAACAGAAGGGAGAAGGGGCGCCACCCACTGAGAGCGTGCACGGAGTGGCAAAGCAAAAAGTAGCAAAAAAAAAACTTTTAAAAAGTGGTGCAAATTATTCCAGAGAAATCCCGGCAGGAAGCAAAAGAAAAAGAAAAAAAAAGGAAGTATTAAAAAAGAGTATAAATAGAAAGAGACCCGCCGCACCGCGACAAATGCGCTTGATGGGGAGTTGCAAGTCCACACCTTCTCGCTCAGAAGACCGCTGCGGCGCCGCAAAGCCCCAGAACAGCCAGCAGCATCCCCCGAGACACACCCCCATGGTACCCGGCGCTGTCACCGCCTCCTCCATTCAGCGACAAGCCCTTCTCCGCAGCTGCTTGCGCTCCCGTAAGCCCCGGAAAATCGCCGGTGGGCTTATTGTGTGCAGCATCGCCGTCAGTAGACAAGACGGCGGGGCTGCCGGCATTGTGCCACGTCTCCGGAGCAGGCCCATCCTCATGCGTGGAGCTTCCGCCTGCACGCTCCCGAGATGCATCGGAGTCGTCAACCTTTTTGACTCCATTCAGTGGGCGGTTGTACAAAAAGACGTTCTTTACTGTCACACTGCTGCTCTCGCTGCCGCCAAAGTAAAAGTGTGATATTTGGTACCTCCGTGCCTCAAGGGTTGGTAGTTTGTTAGTAATCCCCACAAGCACGCCGTCCACGTACACGGAGCCCTCGTTGCCCTGCAGCATGAGCGCCACTTTGTACTCCTTCCCCGGCTCCCAAGTGCTGTTGCGTGTTGTCGTGATGCCGTTGAAGACTGTCCCCCACTGTTTCTCCCTCGTGTACGACAGCCCCACAAACTTCGTTTCTTCATTGTCCTCCAGGCCTGCACCCAGCAGAGAAGCGCTCCCGTTCGGAGCCTTATGAATCGTCACCGTCGCCACAAGCGTGAACTCATAATCCACAAAGCCGTACAGCTTGTCATTGTACCACATGTTCACGGGCCACATGGCGTGTGATTCGGACCCCGTGAACTTAAAGCCATTTTCGACCTTCGTTGCATTCGTCACAGTTGCACCCACGCAACGGTACGCGTCGTCCCAAGTTCCTTCACTCGATGCACCCGACAAAAATCCAACCAGACCGACCGTGGGCACAGACGAGTTCGAGAGGAAGGAGTCCACACTTGCCCAAGTCTCCAAGACGGACGTGATCGTCTTCAGCTCCCCCGTTAGGGAAGCAAGAGCCACGCTTCTGGCCTTTGGACTGCCCCCCTCCTGTAAAAGGTACAACGCATTTTTCGAGTGCAGCAGGGCGTTGCCAGACGTCCACCTCTCCGTAGCGTCCATGGAAATGGGCCCGAGGTGAAACGTGCGGTTGTTGTCAGTGACCCAAAGGTAGAGCGCGGTGGCTCGCACTTTCTCCTCAGGGGTAATCCCTTTCTGGGTGTACAGCATGACCTTCTTTCCGGCAATGGTCGCAGTGGTGAGGGATGTCACACGCTGATCCAACTGCGAAGGGGCTGATAGAAAGTTGGCCTGCACGCGTGTGAGTGTCCTGACAGCCTCAGTCCACGTTGCCCCCATGTCCCTCGACTCGAACACCTTGCGGGCATGCAGACATTGAGCAATCATGAGAAGCTGCCCCTGCTCCCACTCCACGATGAAGAGGCCAGTGCACCCCGCGGGGGGCATCCCCTGTGGAAGTGTCCAACTGTTGCCGTCATCCGCCGAATAAATAATCATGGAGACAAAATCTTCTCCCCTCCTCGCCACCAGCGGAAAGACAAGCCTGCCATCCTTCATCACAACGCCTGAGCCACCAGCACCGATGAAGTCCTTCACGCCACGTCGTGTAGCAGATGGTTCGATCTGTGATAACAGCGAGATGCGTTGGCCCCATTGGATAACTTTATCTTGCGTCTCCTTGGGCTGCCTGGCCTCACCCACCACCAGCTCAAGATCCCACTTCCCCGCTTCCCAGTGCCCCTCAGGTTTCTTGATCCAATCGTAGCTTCCCACAAGGAGAAACACCTTGTTGTCCTTTGCAATTGTTGTGGGAAGGGACGCAATGCCCACATGATCCACAATGTTGGTTCGGTCGAGGACGCCGTGCGCCTCCCAAGTGCTTGCATTGACCTCAGCGACAAGAGATGACCAGCTCTCCGCAGATTTGATGTACCCTGCCACAATATCGGCAAACGTAAGCCAATCCGACCTCTGTTGGAGGCTGTTTGTATGGTCGATGTGGCCCTCGGCAAAAGCAATCAAGACCCCACCAGCACTGGCGAGGGAAGGTGAGGCGAAAGAATCCCTCGTTCGACGCCCACCACCCCGTTCCACAATCGTTCGATTCGGCACAAAAAGATCAACAGTCTTTGGCACTTGCGCTGCCGCTGGTGCGTTTCCCTCGGCGTGCACAGCCGGACTGCCGCAGCATATCAACAGCACAAAAAGGAGCAGCACCGCGGAAGAAAACAGATGCCGGCACATCTTGAGCATGTGTTGCTCCTCGCTCTCTCCCTTCCTTCCTTGCGGAGGACCTGCTCAGACCGCGACGGTTGTGCGTGTGTGTTGCTGGTGGTGGCTGCAGAGTCCTTCAATGTGCACAGCAGCAAGCAGCGTTTGATCTCTTTGTGTGTGTGGAGGAGGAGTGGCAACTGAAGTTCGGCGACGCAAACAAAGTAAATACAGAAAAGAGGAATACAACAACGATGGGCACCCCGCAAAAAACTGTGACAGTCCATAAGGAAGGCCGCACCGACGAACGCGTGGACCGCACGATCTCACACTCGCCGCTGCCCACGAGAGACGGCAGCCCCAAAGAAGGCGGCAGTGGCAGCGATTGTTGTGCGCAGCCCGAAGAAACGCCCACGCGCACCCGCACGGAGCCTCCGCAGTGTGGGACGCCGCCGAATAAATCAAAAAACGAAGCAAATTCATAAGCACGTCGCTTACCGTCTCCCCCGCCCAGCCCCTTCAAACCCTGCCAGCGGCACCACGCAGTGTGCATGCCGGCGAGACCTCCCATCACAACGCCCACAAACTCCCCAACGCCCTCCACCTCCCTCAGCGCAACGCAGCAGGAGTGGGGCGCAGCGCAAAGAACAAAATTGAAATAAACAATAAAAACAATAAAAATTAAAACGCCGCGTGCAGCACCATTTCTTCCACGGGACTTGGCGGTAAATGAAGGCGGCAGCAGCACTGCGAGACACACGCGGCAGATGCCTTCACTACGCAGCCGAAAAAACAAACTCCGCAGTTATGCCACCACAAACAACCCAAACGCAATCGCCCGCTGCCCAGCCGCATCGCAGTGCTCGTGGAGGTGAAGCACCTCAAAGAGGCTGAAGGGAAGCAAAAAAAAAAACACTTCAACCACCACGCACGGCATTTACGTCTTCATACAACACCGCCACATGGTACTGACGCGCCGTGCTCTTCCAAAAAGTCCTGTTCCTTTTATCCTCCTCACTGGCCCCATTGCCGGGGCCCAACCATCGTCCTCCACGGTGCCTCAACAAAGAAAAAGACTTCCACAAGCGGAAAGCCTTCTGCACCCGGCGCATTGCATCGGTCCTCCCAGGATGAAGCACCTTCGGCGGCAGCGCAACCGCGTCGGTAGGGCACAACGGTGGGTTCATTTGCAGCAGGCATGGCCGTGGCCCGCACCCTCCTGCTGGGATTAGAGGCCGCAGCTCGCTCAGCTTATCGCGTATCCTTCGCGCAAAGTCCCCGTACATGAACGCGTCTATTGCGTACCCCTCCACTGCGGAGGGCAGCAGCACAGAGTGCGGCATCAGCACCGTCATGATGCCGGGACGCGGCCGCATCACC